CTTTTGCTGGAGATCTGGGAACTTGACTATTCTATGTCTGGGTGTAGTTTTATTTTGGTTGTGGTTGTTTGGAGTTCTAAATGCCTCATTTACTGTATATCAGGTTCTGTTTCCATGCTTGGGAAATTTTCTGCTATTATTTCTTTTAATGTCAGTCATGTTGATTCCTGCTGTTTCATTGACTCCTCTAATTTGTACATTATTCCTCTTTGCCTCATCTTGCAGCTGTTGAATTGACTTTTCCTGGATCCTTGCTGATTTTACAAGATCCATTCTTTCACGGTAGCTAGCTGCCATGTTGTCTTCAAGGTCTGAGATTCTATCTTCAGCTTCATTCATGTGGTTTTGGTAGCTTTCAGTGGCAGCTTTGTTTTCCTGGAATCTCTTAGAATCTCGTTCATGTGTTCTAAGTCCTTTCTATATTTTTCATTGAAAGTTTCTGACTCTTGTCTTTGTTCTTCTATTTTCTTATATATTTCTTCTTCAGACTTTCTGAGCATTTCCTTCATTATTCTTGCCATTTCACTTTTTGCCTGAGAGATAATTTATGATCTCATCTCTTCTATGGCCTTATGGAGTTGTTTCTTTACTTCAACTGCAATCATTTCAGCTATTTCAGGCATGTGTTTACCAAGTTCTCCTATGTCGATGTCTCCTGGACTTGTTCTGATTGGGCTGGAGTTCTGGGATTGTGTTTTAGTCTTTCATTTTGTCATGTTTGCTTCTGGATGCAGAAAGCTCAGTTTCCCTCTTCAGTAGCTGCTCAACCAAGACCACTAGTGTCCCTAGTTTTGCAGTTGTTCAGGTTTTCCCCTGAGTGACCTCTGAGTAGCGCTACTTAGTCCCGGGTTTTCCGGCAGTTTTTGATTTGTATCTAGTTATCCCCGTTCTCAGACATGGGCACTTGTGTCACTTGATGGCCGACCATCTGATCCAGCGTCCCCTTGTAGATCAGGGCACGTGCAAGACCTGACTCAGGTTGCACTGGTCTGACATTCCCAGTCCGTGGACCTATGTCCCCAGGTAGTTTAGGGTACAGGCATAATTCAGACACAAACTGCAGGATCTACAGTTTGTGAACCACCTGAATCTATGTCTTCAGTCAGTTCAGAACACATACAGGAACCAGATGCAGCCCAGATGGGTATCACTCACAGACTTCCCCAGCCTTCAACTCACTAGGGGGTCTGGGCAAAGGCAAAGCTCAGACTCCAACAGTGGGTCAGCGGCTCTTGGAGCACTCGCTCACTCGGCGCAGGGTGCGTGGGGTCTGGGAGAGTCTGCTCACCCTGTCCGCAGCCAGAGAAGCTCCTGCGGCTTCTGAGTGAAAACCTCCTCTCTGTCACAGGAGTAGGGAGGCCAGGGCTCCATCTGTAATGTTGGCAGGGTCCTGATTCGCGCACTCTGTCCTCAGGGAGTAGCTGGGAAATACCTGTCTCTCTCCGTGTGTTTCAGCTGGGAACCGTGGCAGTGTGGGCCAAGCACAGACTCGAACCCATGAGTCCAGCAGCTCCCAGAGCACTAGCTCTCTCAGTGCAGGTCATGCGGGGCTGAGAGTCTGTCCGCCCTGCCCACAGCCAGAGAAGTCCCTGGGGCTTCTGAGTGAAAACCGCCTCTCTGCCATGGGAGCAGGAAGGCCAAGACTCCATCTGTAATGTTGGCGGGGTCCTGATTCACATGCTCTGCCTTCAGGGAGTAGCTGGGAAATACCTGGCTCTCTCTGCGCATTTCAGCTGGGAACCGTGGTGGTGTGGGCCAAGCACAGACTTGAACCCATGAGTCCAGCAGCTTCTGGAGCACTCGCTCTCTCGGTGCAGTTCACGTGGGGCTGAGAGTCTGTTCACCCTGCCTGCAGCCAGAGAAGTCCCTGGGATTTCAGGAAATTTTTTTTAAAATCCACAAAATAGGAATGATTTCTACTCTTTAATGGGATGGGTACTCCAACAAAGAGCTACAGAATTTACCACAGCCCTTTCTTGACGTTGAAGCTACATCTGTCCACAGGGGCACAGAAAGAAATTTCACTAGAGGGCTGCAGCATGTGGCACACAGGTAGCCCAGGGGTGACTTGGACAACAGCCTCTGCTCCGCTTTTGCAGGTCTAACTGCATGTGCACCCTGAACCTTACAGAAAAGCTGTCAGGTTGATTACCCTAATCCACACTGAAGCATCAAATGACTGATCCTTGCTTAAAGTCATGTAATCCACAGAAGACCACAATAGAGACAGAAAATATAAAATCTGGACACAAAGGCTTGTGCTATTGTAAACTTTTAAGTCTGTGATTACCTAAGTTTTGCTTTTAATAATATATCCAAAGAAGAAAGTAGATAATTTAAAGTTTTATTTTTTAACAGTTGTTGGACTTATTTTTCTAGCTTAATGTATCAGAGTTCTAGTCACAAACGGTCTTTTAAAAGATATTCTTGAAGATACAGCTTTCCACTGATAAAGAAAAAGGTAAAAGAGAAAGAAAAAGGAACAATGCATTATAAATTTAGATTTTTGTATGTTCCTATGTGTTACTGGGGAAAATTCTATATATCTACTTTTTGGTATAAAATAGAGTTAAACCTGAGAGCTTCCACACACAGTGAGCCATCTCTAAGAGATTCTTTGGCCATGTTATAAATCCTTTGAAGTATCAGTTTCCAGTAAAATATGGGAGGAACTTTAAATAAGTGGTTTTAGCAGACACAAATTCCATACATTTAAAAAAATTTAACACTTGCTTCAAGCTGTTATTCAATTCATGTTAGTGGGCTTTATTATATCTTCAAAAACTATTATCCTTTGAATCTCAATTTGTCTCCCTTCAAATCTATTTGGCTGATGTTAAAGGTGAAAGCTGATATAACCCAATGGAGCATAGACTCAGAGAAATTGAAAATGGAGTGTGTATCATTTCCAACTTAGAAGCTAATAAAAGTTGCTTTGCTGCAGTGTACTTTTCATCTGATTCTCCTTTTCCACTGGAAGGTTCTTAGATGGAGACCCTGCAGCCATCAATAGTGATATCCATGATACGCACTTGACTAGAATCAATTATACTGTAATTGCTAGAATAAAAACAAGAGAATCAAGCAATGAAAAGAGGACTTTTATAGGAGGAAATGCATTATTTAAAGGTGACACAACTTTCAAAGTCAACTTTAACTTGTGGAAATGGACAGCAGGCTGATCCCTAAATACTGAAAAGATAACTTCTTATTATCAACAAAGATTTGTCCATGTTTCTTCCCTGGTTAAATCTTATTTGTGTAATGAATATTAATGCTTGTAGCTCTCTAAAACCGAATCACCTCTGGAGTCTAACTGATAACCATTATTTGTATCTAATATTTAGAAGACTTGGTAGGAGCACTCAATGTCAATCGCTATATATTTTAAATGTGATTTTCCCTTCGTATGAGGCCTTTAATCTTCCAAGTTCACCAAGATTGTAAAGTATAGTTTCCAATTTCCTCTTACTATATGTAAGAACTCAGCCATTTTAATATAATGTATACACTGTCTTCTCTGGGTTGTAATTTAATTTTTATCACAACACTGCGGGAGCTGCTCATGTCTGCAGTTTGATTTCACCCCATGGTTTATGCCCTGAAGTGTCAGGCAGATAGACAATGTTGTGCCAATCAGTTTCAGTCTGTTAAAGCTCAGAGAGCAAGGCAGAGATAAAGTGATGGAAGGCTGATAGTAGACAGTGATTTACAAGTAGGCTTCATAGCTTCCAGGACTTCAGGATCTGTCCAAAGGGCAATGAGAGGAAGAGACATCTCTATTTGCATAGTTACTAGTATGACCTTCAAAACACCTCACACAGATTGAGAGGCCTCAAGCAGGTGCCACTTTTAAAGAAGACAAATGAAAATGCAAGGAGAAAGTGGTTGGCTATGGTATAAGAAATTAACGGCAGTGCTACCTGTGACAGATAATAGTTCATGAGACTCCAAACACCCACTGTTTGGGTCAGAGTATCCTTTGGGTCAGGGGAGATGCCACTTAAACTTATTTCCTGGAGTTTTTGTGAAAAATGACATAAAATACTCAACATGGTGCCCCTGGTCTCTTGAAATACTAGATCTTTCCTTTTACTTGCTCTATTCTTTCCTTCACACCACAGCAGTCCTAACATTTCTTGCACGTGTTGGTGCTATGCTAAGCTCTGGATTCACCATCACATGTAATCCAAAGTTAACGTGTGCTGTGATGACACCAATCAGGTAGGTTCTTCTTTTATTTCCATTTAACAGAGAGAGATAACGAAGCCCAGAAAGGCTCATAAGGGTTAGTGGTGGGTCGGGGATTTGCACATATATCTACAAACACATAGGTTCCTGAAGCGTTGGTGCTATATGACCTTTGGAAATTAAAAAGCATAAATTCTGATTTCCCTCAGAGTACTGAGATGACTGGGTTCCAGAGTGAAAAATTTTCTGGAACACTGGCAAGTTCTGAATTAAGCATCATTTTTTTAAAAGAAAATTTCCTTTTCAACAAGGGACTTGCTCCCAAGGTTTTCTAGCCTATTGTTATGTGTATTCAAGGCAACCACCCTTCACACAAGCTGGCTGTAATTTTATCTAAACACTCAGCATAACATGAAAATCTGATCAGAAGATAACACAAGGTGTTCGCTGTTGTGTTTGCTCTTTTATTTGTTTGCATGGTACAAGGAATCAAACTCAGGACCTTGTGCTTATCCGGCAGGAACTTGTGCCACCAAGCTGTATCCCCAGCTAGGGTGTTCATGTTGATAGGCAATGTACACTCTTTAGATGTACTCCTGTCTTCCCTAATAACATTGAGATCATACACTCCCTAAATTCTAAGGATTTTCTAGGATTTGGTATATGGTATCTCCATCAAATGAAAGTCTTGGATGCTTGAAAATGAGTCAGACAGTGCTAATTTCTCTGGAAAGATACCTAAGATGAGGCCAGACATTAAGTCATATATGTAGGAAGTTTTGAGGAAAAATTTTAAAATGTGGGCTTAAAATAATTGTGTATGGGACAGAGGCAGTTGATAACAAGTTCAGAAATAAAGAATGCATATGTTTATTTTCTGTAAAGGCATAAAAAGCTGAAGGTGATTTCCATAACCAACCATCAGTTGAAAAGTACTTTTGATGAGTGTTGTGCAGTGCAGATCTTAAATATTCTTGAGCTTTAAGTTCTTCACCTGCAATATAGAAGCAATAAAAAGTGTGTGACTCATTGGCTTGTTCTAAGGATTAAATGAAAGAATATGAAAGCATTCTGTAAACTCTACAGCATTATGTAAATGTCATATGTTATATTAAATTTAGACCATTAAACCTTTATCGAACATAGTTCATTTGATGACCGAAATCCAAATTCTGAAATGTAGGCTATTTTACCTTCAAGGATATATCTGTCTAATGGAGAAATAAGTGTCTTATCTAAACGATTAAAATTCAGTGTGAAAACTGCTACCACAGATGGGTAGACAAAGTTCCCAAGTACAATAAAAATAACGAGCATAATTAATTTAAGGCAAAAAAGCCATTTTCTGGAGAAGTTTTAGATTGTCTTGACAGTAGCAGGAGCACAGAGGGAGTTAGCAAGACTTTAAAGTGTGTCCGAAGACAGCGAGTAATGGCACAATATTTAAGAGTTTTAGTCTGAATTCTTTGCGAAAATGTGGAAATATTTTCATCCTGAAAGCAGCACAAACTTTTTTTGAAAGTCCGTCTCACTTTGAAGTCTGGGCTGGCCTTGAACTCCTGGTTAATCTTCTGGCTCAGCTTCCTGAGAGCTAGGATTGTAGAAGTGCACCACATCAGCTCAGATTTTTTTATTTTTGGAAAGGAGAAATAAGAATGAAGGTGATACATCATCCCTTCTCTCAGATGCTTATGTTCTGACTCAGAAGGTCATACCAATCCATAGAGGCATGTTGGTTTTGTGAGCTTCATTGTCAGGACCTGAATTTAGGTAAAGACCTGGCAGGTGCGTTTTCTAGTGTAGCCTAAAGTTACTGAAGTTAATGCAAGTCATTCACAAACCAAATATCAAAATGTACTAGAGAGGTTATTACAATATCTCACTAAGAGTGAATAGATTTAGAATTGTCCTTCTCTTGCAGATGAGATAGAGCTGACTTAGAGTGTTTCCTAATGACTCACAATACATGGTCCGGAAGCATCCCTGGTTTGGGGCTTCTACTAAGAGTATCCCTGAACAAAGGACACGTTTCATTTTTGTTACATTCTAGAATAAGTATTTTAAATATTAGTATATCATCCAGATCACACAACTAATAACAGAAAGCCCTATTGCAAGATGCCCATCATTAGTTAATATTATTCTAATTTTATTTTTTGGACCTATTTACCTTTACTTCCTAAATGTATTTTCTTTCGCAGTTATATTAGGTCCATAAGCATTAGTAATTTATAATTAAGCAATTTATAACTGAAATAACAACGCAAACTCAAATTGCATGACAGTGTCTTCCTTAAGAAAGATCCTTAATTTGATAAATATTTTGTAATACAATGTGTATATTCCTCATGAAGCATAATTAAATATTGTGAACATTCTATGCTTCATAAAATCTTTTAGACTACTAATAATGACAGCAAATATAAGGCATTATCAAGTTTATCTATTCTAATTTTTTTTTACTTCAAAGGCTACTATTTGGAGGGCGTTGTTTTACTCTGCTGTTTACTCTTCTCGTACAAGCAGCACAAGAAGACAGACAGCTGCTTTCTCAGTGTGGTCAACCGGTCACATAGGTGAATGACCACCATGAGCAGTATTTCCATGAACTCACCCAATTTTGGCTTCTAGACTTGGTTTTTCAGGCTTGCAAATTTGGTTAATAAGTGCATGGAGAGTTGAGAGCTTTCCCTCTCTTGGATGGAAAAATTTCTCACCAGAATGCCATATAGATGACTTGTCATCAGAATTTTGTTTTGGAATATGGTAGTACCTCAGTTCACAAGCAATTCTTTCCATGGTTCTGCTTGCAAAATGAACTGGATGAGGATCAAATCAAATTTCCACATAAGGTTGACAATGATCCTAACCACTGAATTGGATTCTCTTCTTGTCCAATTTGGCTTGCGATCAGAACGTGGAAAGAATTAAGTTCCTGAACTGAAGCACCACACCTCAGTTCAGATCCAGAAGTCTGTTACACAATTCCAGTATCCAGTGACATCAGTTGAGAGAGGCAGACACACCCATTTCAGTGATGAGCAGCCACCTGCTTGCAGAATGCTCTCAGCGTGTCTTTGCTCCAAGAAGCTGTTTGAAAGTGCACTACGTGTTACCTTTTGCCCTTGTAAGAGTCATTTTGTTTTTGTCATTGGTCAACTTATCCCCCACCTTATCTCAGCTGACTGGAGCACTGTGTTATTACATACAGTCATTCAGTGAGTAAGCCTCATTCTAAACCACAAGCTATTCTCCAAAGGTCCTTCACTGAAGCATTAATGTAATGCTCATTTCTTGTGTTCGTGTCACAAAGCAGACACTGGGCTCCATGCGTGGTAATATGACTCCTACCCCACAAAGCTTATAGTCTACTGGAAGAACCAAATAAGAGTTCAAGCAATCACCACCCAATGTGACAAACATCCCAAGGGTGGGACATAGTGCAATGGGAGAAGCTAAAGGCACAGATAATGTAGACCTGAATCAGTGCTGCTCCCCATATGAGGTGATATCTAAACTGACCGATGTCACACGCTGAGCAAGAATTGTAAGAAGTGCATCTGCTTATTTGGTGTGTGTGTGTGTGTGTGTACTGGAGACAAAGTATAACAGAGATGAGAGAGATATTTGGAAGGAGTGAGGGCTTGGTAAAACGAGAGAAGACAGAGCGTGCACTCATGAGCGAGTGACATTCAGTAAACGGAAAGCAGTAGCTCTTTCCGGGCCCCTGACGCATTGATTCCATAGTTTACTTCTCAGTCACAACAAAGGAGCATGTTATTACACTTTTATCATTAATGCGAGGATGAAGCCTTGTACTTCTGAGTGGTTTCTCATTTTAGAAATGTCACAGCTCACCCCAAGCAGCTCTCACCCACACTAAGGCAAACCCTTTGCTGCACAGTCTTTGGAATAGCCGAACAGAAACAATTTCTGTATTTTTCCACTTTTCTCTTCGCCAGCAAAAATCTTACTGCATCCTTATTGTATACTCTGGAAAACATTTCTTTTATAACACTTTAAGGAAAACGATCTCATATTTTTGTGATAGAGTTTTGCAGTTTGGATATAATTTTGCTGAGCTTGATAAAGAATTAGCAAAACCTTGAAGCACAAATTGTAATAACCACCCACTTATAATACTGCAGCCAGTTAAGGTTTTCTGGATTGAACTGAATACATTATAGCTCCCACCAAAGAACAAGAAATTATACCTGTACCAGATAAAACATAACAGGTACAATACATATTACGCATTAATATACATGGTGAGACGTAAATTAATAAAATAATTTCTTCAGCAGTTATGCACACAATGAAACAACATTCTAATAACCATTATGTTAAAAAGCCAGAGTGGAAATGCATTTGTAATACATCTAGGTCTAGACTGGTGGTTCATGTTTCTGTATAGAGCGTTCACCAAAGTTTCAAATGCAGTGGTGTCGTCTCTCATGTAAAAATGCACCTTGTTCTTCACCTTGATAATAAATGAGTTGCTCATCTTCTAATGGTCTCCTCGTCTCTGTGTATTAACCAGAAAATTAGTCCTTTCCCTTTAAACCTCAGTAAAAAGAAGCGTTCCTCCCCTCCCTGCAGTTACATCTAACTTTCAATTTTCCATCCCCCTAGAGTTCAGCTATCTGTCTCACAGTATCAATCCTGCAGTCTAAGAGAGAAAAGAGCAGATACAAATGCATTTTAAGGAAAGTGACTTAGCAGGTCTCTGGGAAATTGAAGATGAGCATGAGAAAAATGAAACAGGTTTAGGCAGGGTACTACTTTGGGTTCTTAGCTGTTGCTTTCTGCTTTTAATCACTAGCAAGTACCAGTAATCCTAAAGCTTCTCATTTGTATGTGTATATTTAGGGGTATGTGTGTGGTTTATAAAAGAAACCGTAAAATCCTAAAGCTGTCTTTAAAACTCCATCAGTGACACTATTATGAAGGGGAAACTGTCTCTACTGAATTAGAGCCCTTAGACTGTACAATTTTAAAGCTGTTGAGCACCTAGGGGCTGAATCTAATAGTTACAGTCAAAAAGAATACTTTCAACAAGTTAGTAATTACATACGCTGGATTCCAGGAAGTTGGCATCCCTTTACTGCAGCCAATGAACGCTGGGAAGATAAGAGTTATGTATGCACACAGGCAGTAGGCTGTAGGCAAAAGGCAATATTTCAACCAGTATTCTCTGCCTTAACATTCATTAGTATAAGACGAAAAAGCGTGAGAGTTCTGTCAAAGACACAGTAAAAGGGGTTGGAACTAGAAAAGCTTCAGGAGAAAAAAGTAACTGAGATAATTATGCCAAAAGTCAGTGAACTGAAGCCAGACAACAAAAACTTAGCCCCGTGAACCACTGAAAATTCTTGATCCATCCTTCCCTGGAAACTCCTTCGGGGCCATTTCTTCATGTATTCCCTTACAAGTTTGATTATAGGTTTATTGTACATGGGTTAATATGTTCTTAATCACAGAAATAGCGAACATTTAGGTCAAAATTGCCTTAGTTTTGAGACATTTGAAATGAAGATAATACTTCTTCAGAGGGTTTTTTTATAAGTCTATTTAGATAATGCATCAAAAGTGCTTTACTTTAGTGCTTCAGTCATATCAGAAACAGCAGCAGCTGATGTAATTGAATCCTTATTTCAAGCAAGACCCATAGTTCCATTTCTCTGACCATAATATAAGTATAGATATGGGAAATTTGGGTAAAAACATAAACTATTGAGTAGGATATCTATATCTATATTTATATCCATATCTATATATCTATATCTATATTACAAATCTTATGATTCTGGATTTGGGGACTCTTGGTCCATTCTGTAATGGTACTATATCTTTTCAGTGTCCTTAGGAGCCCTCTGAGCCCTTTCCGATGCCTCTGAGAACTTCTCTCCACAATTCAGTGAGGTTTTCCTATTGGCAGGAAACAGTGGACGTGGCCCTCTTGGGTATAGCCCCACTATGATTAAGCATAGCTGT